CGATATTATTACACCTAAATTACATTGTTATTTTAACCTATTTCTCTCGTCACGGAAAGAAAATACACTGAAATTATTTTCAATCAATATAAAAGTTAGAAAAAATTGAACGTTGTACATTAAAACAACAAAAAAAGTAGCAAAACAGATTCAAAAAACTGATGCCCGATTGTAGACACAAAAATCTATACTCAATACTTTATTGCTACCATAATGTAAATTTTACAGTTGGTAAAAACTTAAGCTAGGTATCAATTATGGACCCTGTCGGGCACGGCATAGAAGAGAGAGAGAGAGAGGGGAATGATTATTACTACATTTATTTATAATATATTATTTATATATATTTAATCTGTATAGTCATTATTTTATTTTTATTTAAATATTTAATATTTAAAAAGGTTATTAGTATTATTGTGATTTATTTTGTTAATTGTTGCAATTGGTTTTGGTCAGGCTTGACTAAAACCAATTGCAACAATTAAATGCTTAAATTAAATTAAACTAATGTTTTATAATGTTGTTAAATGCATTGTCACGAATTGTTTATTTCATCCATATATTCTTTTACACTGTAATAGCTTTTTCGCAAGAGGAATAGTTTTAACTTATTAATGAAAATGTTTTTTTTTTCTTCGTTCTTAATCTTTTCTGGTAGTTTATTATAAATTTTTATAGACATAACTAAGGGGCTTTTAGAATGCATAGTTAGTTGGGAAATTGGGAGGTTAAGTCTATTTTTATGTCTTAGTGTGAATTTGATTTTTTTGTCTTCTCTTTTACTATAGTATTACGGGTGTTTTCGAACAAATTTACTCATATTATCTATATCTAATCTACCTATATACTTTATTAAAATCAGTCAACTTTTGCCGTTTATTGTGATATAGGTTTTAAGTTAGTAGCTAGTACGAATGGGCCGAAATTCGTTTTACATTCGGTTTAACCGAATTTCGGTAGCTTGTAAATTTCGGCATTCGGCCAAAATTTGGGATAAAATGCCGAACATTCGGTATAGGAAAAAAGTTAATATCTGAACTATTTTGGCTAAATTTAATAAAAATCAAATCTCTCGTATTTATAAAATGAAACAAGTTCTTTCATCATCATCATCAACAGCCTTTAATAGTCCACTGCTGGACATAAGCCTCTCCTGAGAAAGGAGGTTTTGGCCTACTACAAGTTCTTTATATACTCTCAATTAGTCATTTATTTGTATTAAGTAATAATCAGTATAAATTTGCAATATTTTAACATCGACATTTAAGTAATTAAAAAAATATATACTAGTACTTACCTTCATTAAGGAGACATAAAAATAAAAACCAACAAAGAAATAAATAACTAAAAACAGAAACAAAATAAACTTTATTTAGTTCGAACAAGCATCTCAATGATTTGTAACTTTAAAACTTATGAATAATGAAAATAATAATAACATATTTTAAGATATTTTAATCAAACGTTAAATATGCACGCTATTCTTATGCCTAATTGCGTCTGTTCGCATTATAATAAACGTGTAGTATCACATTATGTATTACCCCATTTAAAGCTAATAAATAATTTGAATCTAATAAGTTCATATTTGGTTCAAACCTCATTCGGCCCATCACTAGTAGCTAGTGGTAAAATAGTTTGTAATACATTTTTTAAATTAAAATGTTTTCAATTTGTCATATTAAATTAGATGAAAAGGAACCCATCAATGTCGAATAATGCAGTGGTTAGTATTATTATATAAATAAACAATTGATTCGCTTTATCACTTTGTATGCGGTGCGGGTACCCCGCGCTGCATAAAGATTAAACTGAAGACTCTTTCATACTTTAGTATTTAAGTTCAACATAATAAAATCATATATTATGTTGATGGATCTCCATTATTGATGATCCGGTGAACGAGTTAAGCGTTAAAAAGTCAACAAACGAACAATTTCCGAATTCAAAATATTAGTAAAGATTGCAAAGGTTATAATAAATATTTTTTGTATTAAAACATACTTCTTTGATATGATAATATTTCAGATTTACTTCTTAATACAGTATCGAATCGTTCTACTTCCATAAAAACATCGGTATATTATGATCAACAATTATAACAATTGAATGTGTAGGTACCACTATATCTTTATAGTAAATTATTCTTATATCTAAAAACAGAAAATTCTAGGGTTAACTATTTTCACTGTATCTTTAACTTTTATAAGCGTTTTTATTACTTATTTCAATTATCTTTTCATTCTTATTATATCCCGCTTTTGTTTTATCGCCCGTTTTAACGCCCGGTTTAATAGTTTTATTCTACTAAAAAGCGACTCAATAAACTCGTCACGTGACATTTGTTCCGTCCGTCTCTTCGTCACTTAATCAAAGCTGACAGTGCAAGGTACCAGGGCCTTAATTCTGCTATTTTATGTTAACGCCAAGCCACTGTCATCTCATTGACACGCTATTGAGACGCCATTGACATTGGTTAAAATATCAGTATTCTACTAACATAAATTACAGTGTCAATAGACTGTCGATATAGTTATATTGGTCATCAATGGTGATATCAACAACATTGCCATACCCGGAAAATTAAATATATCATTTTCCTACAAATGTAAAATGTACCGTTTACCAAACTATTACAAAGACATCGACGACATTTGTATCAGTGACAAGTCATCGGGAGGCCATTGGACTTACATACTTAGTACAATAGGAAATGTGCAAAACGAGTTGTGGTAAAAGTCCGAATTTGGAGCATTGACCTCCATTCACTGGGTAAATCTTAGGACTTACTTTAAATACACGGTAAATGTCGATAAACAGATATGTTTCACTAACAAAAGAGGGGATCTGGCTTACTGGTCATTGTTCTAACCTAACCCAAATTTAACTTTAAAGTATTTATTGTTTTCTTCCCAAAACCAACATTTAGCAAAAGCCTCTTGTAAAACCTAGCATGTACCAGTTTCTAATGATATAAGTCCAAAAAAATGTTCCCCTTTTTATTAATACTTACACATTTACCAACTCTTGTCGGTAAATCTTTTACAGTATCACATTGAAGGAAACTTAAATTGACTATTCATTCTGCTCGCTGCTCAAGTTTTTATCTTAATGTCAAATCAGAAATGACATGACGGTTTTAGCAATTCGTTTCGTTGTGTCAAATCGATATTTTGAGCTACAGACGCGTAACAACAAGGATAACATTTCTTGTTTACGTGACCCAAATGCCACACATGGTAACCCATACGATTGTTTCTGACAAACTCAGAGAGTTCTTGCCAGAGGACTGCCAGCCTGTAGACATGGCTAGTGCAACCTGGTCGAAACGTCGGGCAATTGAAAGCTATGTACTTAACACGTTATTTCCCTTAAACGTAATTATATATTATGGCAATTTTTTTTTTACAGGCCATCATCGCACCGTCCAGAACATGCAACAAATCACAAGAAATCGAAAAAAGGACAAGACATATTCAGAAGCTTAAATATATACTCCAGGTACAGTGAGCTGCAAAAATGCACGGCAATTACAAAACATAAATAAAGAAAACTGATTCACCAATGCCATCTTGTCTCGTCTACATCTTTCAGATTTAATTTACTCATAAAGTTACATGCCCCATTTTGGTCCTACTAGATAACGCTGTACTGATCATAATTTCAATATAATAACGTCGAGATTTTATTTGCTTTCATAATACTAACTTTAACTAACACCAATCACAGGTATATTATGATAATTACAAAAATACAAATACACTACTAAAATTGATGTTATTATTTTCGATCAAATACTAAAATAAATAAATAGTGGGTAGTTTGGTTTTTAATGACTCCCAAGTTTATTCGTAGTCATCTTCATTCCTGTTTTCATTATTCAAGGGTTGTGTTTGTTAAGTGCAATTACTCTAATTTACGAATATGAGTTTGAGTACAAAATGACTATTAGAAGGTCATAAATAATTGTTTTACATTTTACAAGAATCGCGAGATAGACTGGTGTAAACGTGACTAATAAAAACTACTAACGCCATCTAGTATATTTTTTTAATTAATTTCTTTTCTTTCTTTCTTTTCTTTTTTAAATACAACTCCCGCACTAGGAATAAATCCTGTGTCGCGGGGGACTTTATAAACATACATGAAACGGACACAAAGGACACCCAGACTCAGAACAACAATTTGTGGATCACACAGTGTTGTCCCATGTGGGGATCGTACCCACAACACTCAGCGTAGTAGGAAGCGGCGAGGAGACCGCTTAAACCACTACGTGCAGTCGATTCAAGGGTGTACGTGATTACAGGCTTTAAAATATCGATGCAATTTTAAACATGATTGTACCTATGTGCACGTATCTCTAATGTAAAAGTCGATAGATAGTTTCGTAGTTGCCCTAGCTCTTACTGAATATACAATTTGGTACATCTTATTGCTAAACACTTAATAGGTATATTTAATGACGACCTTTATATTCACTTTAACATCAATATTAAAATTACTATGTACATCTTTTGCGATGCCTCCCAATTGCATGTATCCAAGGATCCTTTGCATGAATCCTATTTCACAATTACAGGTCACCGTTTTAGAAACTTGTTATTTGAAAATAAAACCACTTAAGTTAAAATCTCGTATTTTTACAAAATTTATGTTTTAAATATTCAGGCAAAACAAATCTGTAATCCGGAATGACAAATATTAGAAAACCGTCTGTTATGAAAAATAGCGAAAATACTTTTTTATATATTCAATGTTTTTTGTATGTTCGACGTGATAATTGTAACAATTTATTATATCATGTTTTTGGGATGGAACTGATCCCCGATATACAGCTCACGCTAGTTTGGGAATCAGGGCTTGCACTTGAATTGTATGCATCATTTGTTATAATAAAGAATTTATTATTATTATCATACATATACTCTTCAGTTCCTATGTATTAAATTTTTTATCGAACGGCCGGTTTTTTTTTAACGCAAACTGAATAAACTTACCTCATGATCTGGTCCTGGTTTTGAAGCCAATCTTGCTTCTGTTAACTGATTTTTTAAAGCCCTGTAACAACGAAAAAAACAATTAACACCTGTTCCTCTGATGAAAGGATTTAACTGGACATCAAACTTTTCAAACAGAAAGGGTAGATAGTGGTGGTGCTAATAATGTTGTTCGAAAACACTCTAAACTAAACTAAAAATCACTAAAAATTAGTTTAGTCCTCTCAAACTATGTTTCCTATTCTGAAAACATAGTACTTGACAGGACTTAACAAATTTTTAGTTTAGAGAGTTTTCTAAGAACAGAATTAGCACCAGTAGTGCATAAATTGCATTAAAACAAATAATCCTACGTAGCCTGTTTAAAGTTGTACCGAGGCTTATAGGACGACTCTTCATCGTATACTATCACCATAAATACTGTTTAAACCAAGTGATAAGTACTTACATATAAAGTTCTTCAGCCTGTCGCGCCTGTTTCTCACGTCGACGGAGTAGTTCGGCGCAGTGCTGTAGCGTGGTTAGTGTAGCGCCGCTGGTAGCTCGAAATGATGCACTTGTTGCACGCACTTCCCCGGCATGGAGACTCAGGTCGTTACCTAAACAAAAAAAACGGTTTTAAGTAGTTAAGTAGTTGCGTTGTCTTGCAACTTTTTATTTCATGGATATTATTAATCTTAACTAGAAAGACTTCAATACTCTTACATGTCAAACTAAAGTGTTTTAGGATTAGTATTGGATTTTTACATTTTTGTTAAATATCATAAAACAGAATCCTATAAAATACTGATGTATATATCTACTGCCTAAGAATAAAAATGTATTAGTTTGACGACAGAGAAGACCACAGACTATTACCGATAGGTTTACAGTAGTAAATCACAATGTAACTTTAGGCAGTCCTCTGTTTATATTGGAGTTGACCAAAATACAAAAGACTGCACGGACTGCGTAGTGGTTTAAGCGGTCACCTCGCCGCTTCCTACTGCGATGAGTTTTGTGGGTTCGATACCCACATGGGATAACACTTTGTATGATACACAAATTGTTGTTCTGAGTCTAGTTGTTCTTTGTGTTTGTTTCATGTATGTTTGTAAATTATGTGTCCCCCATGACACAGGATATATACCTAATGCGGGAGTTATCTTTTATACAATATTATAACTTTTAATTGATTCTTTTTTGTAATCAAAAAAACTTGTTAAACAGTTATGGCAACATATGTACCGAATTGTGAATACTAAAATTTAATCATCAATCAAACATCTGTATTGCAGTTTCATCAATATCCCAATTATAAAACTCAGTCCCACTTCAATATATCATAGGTATCACACATTACATAAACTTCTGAAAAACTAGCAATACAACCCTGACTGCTAAGCCAAAGGTGGGTTCGATTCCCACCAAATACAAATAATTGTATGTATTTAGAAATATAATAAGTATGTTTATTAGCAGCCTGGTTACCATTTTTTTTAAGTGTGGAAACCCCCTAGTGTGTCGGAATCGGACCGACTAAAGCCCCACGGTGTGCCACTCTGTGCCTGTATTAGGAGAAATACGGGGACTGCTGTTATTGTGACATCCGAACCCAACAGCTTGATTACCATAGCACAGGCTCTGATTCGTTTGGGATCAGAAAAAAAACGTTTCTCGCCTCACAGGGCGATACTGAAACTCTTTGTCTATTATAATAGTACATATTACTAGCGTATATTGAGATCATGGTATTTGCTATAATCTTGCTTTTCATCCCTCCAAGCCAGTTGCTTGCATTTCAGTTCTTAATAACCTTAGTACCAACTTTGTAAATTATTTTGTAGCTGCTAAGACATCTTGTACTTTCAACCGTTTTTCTTTCCTTGTCATGTAATGTCTTATTTAATAACACAAAAGACCGTTCCACTACTTTGCAGCTAACACGATGCCATAAATTTGTTTTAAAACTGCTTTACAATTAAATTAACCTTCTGTACAATTACATGTGAAGTCATCTCTTATTTGGACAATAGACTAGTCATAATGTCATGCTTCAATTAAAGTCTCAAATTGCTGAATTATTTATACATTTCGCCTATGTAGTACTTTTGGTAACCTCTTGAAATGCTCATAACAGGACTGGATCCTAGATTTCAGTCCATGGTATACACTAACACACAAATTATCTACTAATGTAGATCTACTAATATATAGAACTAAAGCTGATTAAGATTTTGTTCTTTCGTTGCTTCCACACGATAATTTTCGTTTAACCAGAGACCAAAGATTTCTACTAACCATCGGCCAGCTTGACAGCGTCGATCGGATTGTCGACGTCATCGTTGATCTGTGGGTAAGCAGTGATGCACATGTCGAAGTACTGCTGTAACTGCACCGCCTGCTTCGATAGCAACTCGTTGTAAGTGTCGAGCTCTGCGATCTTCTCCGCCAGACGTCTCGATGTCCTTCCTGCGATAAATGTATAAAAGTTGTTAAATTAACGGGAATTAACATATTCTGCAGTATTTTAAAACTTTTTTACAATTTTGAAACGAATTTGTTACACTAGACTTATACTTATAATAAACTCACGACTTTACTAATATTTTAAATGCAAGTGTTAGGTTGGTAATTTGCATATGTGCCTTATCAGGGCTATAGAAAATCACAGAAGGTACCTTTCCAAAAAAGTCATTATCCCGTAGTTCATGTTCATAATTATACGGAAACATTTGGTCTATGAGGATTCCTTAGATGACCAATCATATTATTTATTAAACGAACTTCAAAAAGAATTTATATTTTTTTATGTGTGTTCGGGTTTAACTCCGTCATATATGGACGGATTTTAAAAATTCTTATTTTGTTCAAAATGGGTTAGTCTGAAATAGCCCCATTTAAATTTCATATAGATCTGATGATGAGTTTCGGTGTCAGACAACTGAACTCTTCAAAAAATGACAGCAAATCAACCGCGATTGCTGCTAAGTTTTTAGTGCTCTTTTTTAGCATTGGTTTAAGTCGGTTCAACATTTTTTTTAAAGGATTTATCATTTATGTAGTGTGCAGTCTTATTGCATTAAGAATATACTATTTTATTTGCAAACATAAAAAATGTTTTATAACAACTTGTCCCTGTCTGAGTATATCAAAAGTAAAGTCTAATCATTTTTTTAAACTGTGTGAAGCGGACAACGGCGAAAAAGGAAGTTTCAAAACCTTAACTAAAATACCCTATATTTTTAGGGTTCCGTACCTCAAAAAGAAAAAACGGAACCCTTTTGGGATCACTTTGTTGTCCGTCCATCTGTCTGTCTGTCAAGACCCTTTATCTCGGGAACGCATGGAGATATCGAGTTGAAATTAAAACTCTATACTTAGGGTTACAGTCTCTTGAAGCTGTGAAAAAATCAAACTTCTAAGTTAACGTAAAAAAAGATAAAGCCGTTTATGTCTCAAAAAACGTATATTTCGACACTCTCAAGGAAATCAAAATTTATAGAGTATTTTCCGTTGACCTAGAAGTATGAAATTTAGCAAGTAATACCGTCTTATACTACAGGTGTAGGGAAAAATCTGAAAACTATACACTTGTAATTAAATCATAAAAAAAACAGGGTCTTCATGCAAGGAACGACGGTCCAAATTTTGAATTGAGTTAACCACATATTTGATAAACACACATGATTGATACATATCAATAATAACACATTATTGAGTTGATTGGCACAAGCTTAAACAGACTTTTAATTATTTTTATGATGTATAGTTTTCGATCAAAAATGTATTGTATGTGTGACTTGTCCGTATTTTTTATTTAACCCGCCGTTGTAAAATAAAAAAGATTGTAAAGAATTAACCTGATTGGTGAGTTTGTGTAAAATATGTTTTTTGCTTTAAAGTAATTTACAATAAAATAATGAGTACAAGGTTTCCTCTGTTAAACGCTTTTGTCAAACTACTACTAAATTGAGGCATCACAGAATGAAATCAATTTGCGTCTTATTTGTTGAAAAACAGGACGACCACGATTCATATCATCGACATTTAATATATACAATTATTGTACATATTTTTATTTCCAACTGATAAAGCAAACATAAATGGATTCGTTATGCAATAAAATCTGTTTCTAATTTAATGTACATAATAATATACCTACCCGTTATTATGATACATCTATATACATATAATATACATAGTACCTAATCTAATAAAGTTGCAGACTCCTACATGACCATGTTTATATCGTAAACCGATTTACATCTAAGCTAATTAATAAAGATAATAAGTTGTTATTATTGAACTCTTTGATTTTTTGTAAAAGACAACTCTCACACTAAGAATATATACTGTGTCGCGGGGGACTTTACAAACATACATGAAACGGATACAGAACACCCACACTCAGAACGACAATTTGTGGATCACACAAAGTGGCGTCCCATGTGAGGATCAAACCACAACACTCAGCGTAGTAGGAAGCGGCGTGGCGACCACTTAAACCACTACGCCATCCGTGCAGTTAAAGTTAAATCGTAAGGAAAGTAGATGAAGTTAGCAATTTAATTTGTAGTCATATAGTGTAATTAGTCTCATGTGGCGCAGATCGAGAAGTTACGTTTTACGTGAGAAGTTAAGTACACTTTCTACATAATTAAATTTGTACGTGTACTGATATATCGTCGGTCTAGATGTTACACCTCGTAGGCGCATTTTTTTTTAAATTATATTTTTGTGCAAAATGTTTGGTTGATAAATTGAAAATATACTCTAAGACTTTTTTATTGATGAAGCATATATTATTTTAGCTTAAAAGCCAAAAAAGGATATTAATGGTATTTTATTATGAAAGTTTGTTAGCTGTTTTGTCTCTTCTGAAACGCTTATCAGTTGGCACATACGAGTTGTCACACCTAGACCGACGATATGTAGCAAATGGCGCCGTTGTATAGCATAAACTGGTACGGAAGTCGATTTAACAAATTCATTACAGGGAAAATCATCTAAACTCAGTATATATTTAACAATAATTAACATAATCATATAAATACATTTGCCTCATTAACCTACTACACATAGAACGCATGTGAAGTAAATAAATTAAGCGTTGGATAAAGCGTAATCAAAAAACAAAAGGAAAGAGATAAGACAAACGTTATTAAATTATTACATTTTGATTAGTTTGCGCGTGGTAAGTAGTATCTAGCTGGTTATCAAATAAATAAAAACATAAAGTGCCACGTAACATAATACAACATAACAATTATGCGGAGATAGTAACTCATTGAAATTTGTAATTTAAACGAGAGAAGCTCGTGTAAAAGTTAATGCCATAAGGTCACTTCTTATTTTTATTGATCCGAAAGACGCCTGATGGTTTTTGTCCAATAGATAACGGCAACTACTTATGGTTGTTACGGATGATATTTGCAGTATGTGTAAGTGTGTGGAACGCCGAGTGGAAAATAAAACAAAGAGGCAGGCGTACCATCATACTTTGATTGTATACACCTCAAATTCAATTTTCTTCAGTTTTGTTACTGACACTCTCACCGAGCATCCAAATTTTAAACTATTTCTAACAGACACACAAGCTTTAAACTGAACAAATTTACTGTAATTCTCAGTGATCGATATGAGATTGCAACGATAATTTTGCATATGATACGGTGTCTTCATCTTAGTGACAAGATGAACGATGTTTTCCTAAATGTACTTATTAACTGCGAGAACGTAAAGATCTCATAAAAAATATAACATATAAAAATTTACGCCTCGCAACGCAGTTGTTCTACCGCAAAAAGTGGCGAGATCTAATTAATTAACTAACAACATGATATAGTGACCGTATTAATAAAATACATCTTTATTTCTATACTAATATTATAAAGCTGAAGAGTTTGTTTGTTTGTTTGTTTGTTTGAACGCGCTAATCTCAGGAACTACTGGTCCGATTTGAAAAATTCTTTCAGTGTTAGATAGCCCATTTATCGAGGAAGGCTATAGGCTATATATCATCACGCTAAGACCAATAGGAGCGGAGCACCAATGAAGAATGTTTTGAAAACGGAGAAAATTTATTACTATTGAGAACGCAGACGAAGTTGCGCGGGTCAGCTAGTCTTTAATAAATAGAATGACTTGGCAGCAATGCACATAAATACGTACAATAAAATCTTCCTAACGTTAACGTCCTGAATATTTCTTTTATTAGTATGTATATACATACATGTACCTATGTACATGTATGTATGTACTATGTATGTTTTGTCATATGATTCCATACTATTTGTTTGACTTTCATTCGTCAGTTTGTCATTAGATTGACGATTCAACAAAAAGATATGAAGATGGTAACATGTGGTTCATCTGAATTTTATCGGCCCAGTGGTACTAAACTGGATCTGAAACCGTGAATATAGTATCAGGCAAAGCATTCAAATTGACCTGATAAATTGCGCTATCTTTAGAACTCTGCTAGAGCTGGATTGTAGTTTCAATTTAAAAGGAAACGACCTACACTATAAAACATCAGAGCACGAAACTTAAAGAATAAGGACAAATAATTTATTTACTAATAAATTCGCATCACACGCACTTCGTTTGACCTCGTATTTACATTAAAAAACAATTTAGATGCTTATAGTCATTCAGTATAATTATAAATTTAGAATTTTTAAACAAATTTCTGGTTCTAGGCAGTATTTTATTTTTACTTTTAACTAATTGTACCGGTTTATCCTAATTGATGTTATAGTTTATTTAAATTACTTACCTACTGACCACTAACACAGGGTCTAATTTTCAGATTCGAAATGAAAATTGGAACCCATCAATTACTTCGAGATCACTGCCATACATTTAGTAGATTTCAAAATGCGTAAATTCATAATTTAAGAATCAAGATTCTTTCAGACGACTTCAACTTGGTGCGACACATTATCTAAGGTTCTATCGCCTTTAATCGACGCTTTTACAAGTTGGAGGAAGTACAGGGTCGATACTTTTTGTATGAGAATTTGAAGTAAATCTTTGGCGGATATCACAAAAGGGGGTTAGTACCAACGAAAGTTATACTACTCCTTCAATATCAATTGAATACTATTTATTACTCAGATAAAACCGCCACTTATTTTTTATCGAAGACTGCTGTTTTTTTCATGATGATCAGGGGAAAAATTTAAGAGGTGTACCTAACCGTCATCTTCTAATAACATTAAGTACCTTAGTGTGATACGTAACTTAAATAGAACCAGTTTATATAAAACAGCATAGATTCTGCGTCGCATTATCGTAACTCATGAATTGATCGATATTATCGTATCGAGCACACTATCCAATACCTTTATCACGCATGAATTTTCAATTCCGAAAAGATGACATCTGTATTATAAACTCACCGCCTAAATATATCACACCTCTTTCATTAAGTCAAAGGTTTACGTTTTCTTTATCTGAGAAGCAAATCACGTGGTGGGGTAAAAAAATGGAAAAGCTCTAGGGATTGCTTGCAACCTTCCATTAACAATATGCCATAATAGTGTTTCTTGAGTTAATGAGTTTCGAATAATTAAACTAGAATTAAAATATTAACCATGTGAGCCAGTTGACTGCAAGGATGTCGCCGAACCATGTCTTCGCAGCCCACCGCCATTGGAACTGCTGTCTGAACTTGTGCCGTAACCTGATTCAACCTGCAATTAAAATATGTATAGATTGTATATTTCTTTTGTTATATACCGCTGCTTTCGGCACCTTGAAACAATGTAAAAATCATGAGCGTTGACGTTTTACAAAAGCCTATCTATTTATCCTAGATAAAGATTGCACTAGATTTCTGATCAGAGCTTCATAAACGGCCCGAGAAATAAAAACACAAAAAAATATGTGCCTTTTTTTAAATTAATGAACATCACTTAAAACAATAGTAAAGACATGGGTTCGATTACTACCCAGGACAAATGTAAAGTGCCTGATAAAATCAGCGCGACACACAAATATTATCAATGAGGAAAACTTATAGGTTTATTTTGTAACCATTGTGAATAAAAATATTAAATATAAGAGCATTGAACGCAATACTTATCAATCAGTCTATCTATAAATTATTCTAACATACGATATTTGTCACAAACTTTTCTACAGCTAACGATGCAATACGTCATCAAGCAATACTAAGGTAGAATACAATAAGTTAAGTAGTAATGTTAATTCAAATTAAACTATAATTTAATTGATTGCGGTCTTGACACATTTTTCTAATAAAAATAAAGTAGTTCGTTTATATCGCTAAAATCGAGGTGAATTCTTTATTAATATTATTACTACTGATGTATTGAGAAAATATTCACGTTGAGCAATGCTGTTTGATAGTAGACTCTTAATTCTTCTGAACATCTGTTTACGTTGCAGATATTGTCGTATTACCAGACTGCCGGTACTTATGGCCGTATATTGAACGAAAAACCCACTGCATAAAAAATATGCACGATTTTATATATTATAGTTTTCCGTTATCGTTTACAAGATAGCTAAATCACGCCACACTATTAAATTTCATGACCAATTTTATCTTACTACGTGTTTAATATAAAAAAGTATAAAAAAGTCGGAACTGTGAAATCAACCCATGCAAAAACATGCATTTATGTCTGCAAGGTTAAGGAGGCGGTTGGGAATAATGTAATTACCATAAAAAATACAAAAATATTCATAAAAATATTCAAAGTTCAAAACTTTTTTTCAAAACAAAAGGTTTTGAAAAGCTAGCTTCACAGATCAAAAAAAATACCCCTCGACCATTAGGAGTGTACTATAGTGTGAGTGCACATTCGCGTTAAGAAAACAGTGACGAATCGATCAAGGCCTGCCTCTTGACCAATCAGATTGAGAGAAATTATTATTTCGTACGAAAGAGATAGGGGATCAATGGAATGGGCTATAGTCCTCTCAATAGAATCAATCGAATGGTCGAATGGCTTATGTTCCTCATCATTTTAGAAGACGGGCGGAGTGTCTAAGTCAGGCACTATCAAGCTCTCAGAGAGCGGCCCACTGCGTCAATGACACTTCCGAAACTCCATCTGTTCACCCACAAGCTACCGCTCGTAGAGCAAAACTACTTGCCTTGTCCCGTAATCTTTCCAATGTCATCATTTCCTAAGTCAGCAAGAAGATTAAAATCCCATAGCGCTGATGTTGGCATGTGAACAAAATGACCAAACCATTTTGTATCCGGCAGAGATCAACAGCTTATGATCGTGTTTGGTTAGGTTTGAGTATAGTTTTAACCATTTTTCTATACTTGGTGTATTAATTAAATTCTATTTTACAAAACCACCTTGGCAACTCCAGGTTTAATATTGTCATATTTTACTTATCTTATACCTAAATACAATAAAGTGAAATCTTATCTCAAACATTAATCACGGAGGTAATACTTTAATAGTATTCACTATCACTCTCACGAAATTTGATAACACAGTAAATAGCTACAATGGAATAACTTTTAAATGAATCATAAAAAAGGGAAGTGAAAACCAATTAGAGAATAAACAGACGCCCTAAATACATGTACTGTATAATTTATAAACTCCTATAATCTATCTAATCTAAGAGGTACCGTTTGACGAAACATTTATGTATAGGCGTAACTCACGTAAAACCATTATGTGCCACGAGTTATGTAGCTATTTTTATTTTATCGCAAGATATACAATTCTTAATAACTATTTAAATCCTTGAAACAAAGCAAAATAACCAATTTATACACAATAGTCTTTTTTTCTAACTTCATTTCAAAGTCTCATAGTTAGGTCCTTTAGACTTTTTACTTAGTGAACATGTTAGGAAAACAATGACAGACATAACTATATTATAAAATTCCCTTTGGCAAATAAATCCTATCTCAAAAATAAAACTGTAGAGATCCAGTTTTGTGACATACTTAGATGGTAACAGCCTCAGACAAATAAAAAGATTAGTTACATTGAACAGTATATCTGTGTCCTGGGTTTGGCAACCCGTTTAAGTATAATAGTAAAGACAGGTGGTACTTTTTTCCATTAGTGTTTACTGTATGTGGAATGGTTCACATTTTGCACTGTTGCGCTGTTTATCCGCTTATAGCTTGGATTAGTTGAATTTTACTTTGTACGCAAAACATAAACAGCTAAGAAAAAATTCTTATACAATAACAATGGCCAACTAGTTTAATAAATTAAATTGTAATTATCTTACATCAGTGCTTCGTTTTTTCTGACCAACTGCAATCTCTCGTATATGTGAATCTGGCCCCTGAATTAAGAAGCAAGTGATATAATTGAAATTAAATTTAAAAAAGCTAATATAAGCTAATATAAGACAGAAGTGCATTTAGGTATCTAAATATATGTATACATTTAAGTATTTACATATTATGACATCATAATATATAGTTAATGTAGTAAACTTAAAGTTTAAATTATTTGGTAATTATTAAAAGCCTACTTACTATAGAACAGTATTAACATGAAGTCTTTTATGCATTGTGTTTTAAACTATCCCATGAGAGTAGAAAAAACAACTAGTCCATCCATCTCATCCAATGAATGAACATGTGCATTTAACATTGATATTATAACTAATGATTATGAGTTTGTTATCATGTAATTAATATAATAAAATGTTTTTATAGAAATGATAGCCATAGTATACAAAAATTAGATATTAAAAACTAATTTTTACTAATAACTCATTAAAAATGGTGGAAATTAAGAATAAATTACTCATAATAACTAAGGTAAACAGCCCTTATTTTGAAATAGTATGTATATTTTTAATTTTTGTTGTTGCACAAAAACAATTCACATGGTTTATATAATAATAATAAAACCAAATACCATTATTAAAATTTTAAACTAAGAAATGCAACAGTCAAGAATCTCAGTCAGTGAACTGTTTTTGAGTGTAAAGAACACAGTTGCAACGAGTTTAGCGAATAAAACATATAATGTAACTGATTTGACAGGAGGAGGAGACCAGATTTATATTCAACAATTGAATTCATATCTTACCAAGGGTTAGCAGGTTAAATAACCACTCTATGCAAATAATTGTATGAATGAGTGTTTACATTTATGAGTGGTTACATACGTATTGGTATTATGAACAATATATTATAAATTTCTTATCTAAGTAAGAGAAGTATGTAACTTTACTTGACTAATATGCATATATCTAAACAGTATTAGCCTATCAAGTTGTTGACAATAGTATGTATATTTGTAGGTATTTATAAGTTACATGAATCACTATCAAATTACTATTTCTATAACTATGTTTCTATGTTACTTCTACACTTCGGTTTCTTTTTATTTTTTAACATTTTTTAATATTTGACACATTTCGCACTAGGCTGAGCCTGTACTATGGTAACCCGACTACTGATAAACATACTTATATATTTCTAAATACTTATACATCTTATAGATAAAGTACACCCAGACACAGAACAAGCGATTGTAGTCATCACATAATTATTTGTCCTGGGTGGAATCAAACCCACAACCTCTGTAATGGGTAGCAGTCAGGGTCACTAAAAACAAGTCCACAGGCCAGTCCAGTTTATACGTTTTTAACCGTTAATGAACGTCTTTAGTGAACTACCATAAAAAGTAGTGAGGTTTAATTATTAACTAATTAATTAACTAACAACATTTAATGCTGCCTCTGCATTAATATGAGATATCTTTATTATTAAGATAATTAGAATGACAAAACTGACTCATATTAGTTTTGAAACTACAGATTCAAATTGTATGAAATTTGTGAATGTATCTAAATATATTCAAAATAAGTCTAGGTAAGGATGTAAGGACTAAAAAGTCGTATTTACAAACTACTAACACTATGTGTATTGAAGCACTTATCAGAACTATTTGTAGCAATGTTGATAGGTATATCTGTTTTCCTCGAAGCATAATATTATAAATGCTATAAAAACCTTATAATATAGGCATGTGAACTTACTTTAAAAGACTCCAAAACATCAATCCATTGCTGTTTTTCCTCTGGGTTAGTGGCTCTTAGGTACCAGACGCAATCATTAACTGACACATCAAATCTGCAGTCATCAAACTCATGGGGCTGAAATGTATTCAAAATAATAAACAATCGAGATCAAGTGACACAAACAGTTCAGAAGATAGATCACGTGCATATTTAACTTGTAAAAAACCCGATAAAGTGGTACGACATAAACAATAGAAGCAACAAGGACATATTAATGTTTTTCATTAGACATCTTAGCTATAAATTTAGTCACCTTGACTTTGGCTTTTTTCAAACATAAGGCACCTCGGCATCCGAGATTACTCTCCAGTTCACTTTTGTAATATGATAATGTGGAATCTTTTAAAACAATAAACCTGTCCTGCCAACCGTGAATGTAATTTGTCCATTTGCTCAAGTATCCACGAAGTTCAGGATTTCCGCCATCCTCTAAATCGGAGTTGTCGCTTATTGTTATATTTTCCTCTGTCATATTAAGTTTTTAGTAAGCTAACATTAAATTCTACACAAAACAAACAAAATCAAAAATAATAATTATCAAAAAATCGTTACACGGAAATATACACAACGAAATTGTTGCTGTTTTTTGACATTTAGCTCTTGTACAGATTATATAGTTTTGATTAATTTTGTTGAGAATAATACTTTTTTTATTACAGAGACTATAGAGTAACTTCATGTTACATAGACAATGTTAACTATGGCCATTACTCATCGTCACTGACTCATCCCCATAGATAAAGACGAAGGAATAGAAAACATTGAAACACATCACATGACGTGACCTAAGGCTAAATGTTGACGAATAATGTTGGAAATATGTGTATTATATATATATATATATATATATATTCCCTATCTGCACAAAATCACGCCTACTTATCAGTAAATTCTATATGTACGTCTATCTTATTTATTTTTATCTATTTTTTTGTTTACATAAATCATCACCATCAACAGCCTTTAAGGATGAAGTCACAAGAGCATTAAAAATGTGTTGAAAATGTATATTGGAGCACTAATATAAACTTCTTGAACAATACAGTAATTGACAGTGTTGTTTTGTTAGGCTAAATCAGTTTTTCTGTATTCTGATTTCTATAAAATGTGAAATTTTAATATTAAAAATAACCTGACAATAATATGGAGTCAACGTTTATGAAATGATCCTACACAATTATATTAAAGTTACAAAGTATAATTATTTATTAGAAACATCTAATTTTGAAAACTCAATTCTTTGTTAATTGCGTTCTTGGTTTTTAAACGTCTTCGTTTTGACAGCCCAAGCTGAGAAGGACTGGAATTTCATTTCCGGTGACAGTTCAGTCCGCATTGATTTTATGTACATTGTTATTCCATTGGTCAATAAATGTTAACCGCCAAAACACTAACCCGTGGACCAATAGGATATCGCCATTCTACAAATAACGCGCAATATCCGTTCAAGATGGCCGACAAAACTATGCCTATTTTTGTTCCATCAGAAAAACCTGTGAAAGTAGTTAAGTGGAAAGTAAAACAAGGTGTTTTTGTTTCGCAAGGTCAAATATTATTTTTATACAATGATTCGTCAGGCAATGTTACTGAATTAAAGAAATTTAAAGCAATTCGTGCGGGTACTATCTCATCGATCAAGGTGAAGGAAGGAGACATTGCAGAGCCTGGGTAAGTGACGTCACACTGTAAATGCGCCGTAAAATTAAATTAATAATTTTTAATGTATAAATAGTGTCGAAACATTGCAAATTGCATCGTCTTTAACTCATTGACTTTTTTTATGTTATAGTGCAATGGCATTATTTGCGCGGCAAATACGAGTGCAGCACAAGCGTTGATTTCCCGCCTAAACGTTAACCTGTTCAAAACAAAAAAATATTGTGGATTAAAAATATAAACAATAATAACTCTTGATATTGCACATGTCATAACTTTCTACTTAGTATTCTTTATTGTTGTTACACCATTATATCTAGCCATTATATCTATATTTATAATCTAGCCTTGTTACAATTAATAACAAGATGATATTTGGTATGGTTGATCAGGGGAGCTATAGCCGAGTTGGAAGAATGTCGGCATCCAACTGTGATGAAGGAAATGTGTGCAGAGTGCGGTGCCGATCTGCGGACCGACGAAGTTACCAGTCGCGATGTAGCCGTGGTCCCCATGGTGCACTCTGTACCTGAACTAAAGGTAAAGAATCATAGCTACTACTTCATAATAAAATACATTTTTAATTACACCTAAGTGCTACAAAACACCTTAAAATGCACCCAGAAATGATTTTTCTATAATGAAATGACTTAGATAGTATACCAACATAGATATTGGGTACATCCACTTTGTTTGGTAAAATAATAATATTGATCCTGACAAACTCAAATGTTATTAGATTTGAGTCATTTATTTATTTACATTTTACTTTTCCAGTTTGCTTATTTTGGTTCAATTACATTACAATCAATGACAATGGTGGATATCATACATATTATTTTAATTAAAAGTTTTAGACTTCATATGGGTAAATAAACTTGAATATTTTTGACTGATGAGCTAATGGATTAGATACGAGTTATAATACCAACTTTTTTATAACTTCAAAGAAATCCAGACATCAATAATGCTCTTCTGAAGACTTTCTTTTGTTGAGCTTTAAAAGAAAGACAGATATGAGGGCAACATAACAATTTTTTTTTTATAAAATTAACATTACACTTTTTCTCCTTCAAAACGTAATATGGATATTTCCTCTTTGCAGGTCTCTGAAGAATTGGCTCAAAAACTTGGTCGGGAAGATGCTGAGCGTCTTCTCAAAGATAGGAAGCTGGTACTTCTTGTGGACTTAGATCAAACATTAGTTCACACCACTAATGATAATATACCACCTAATTTGAAGGTAAAACATCTGTCATTGCATATAATCATCAATAATCTAATTGGTCTAGTGGTTAGCGACCCTGACAGCTAAGCCAGAGGTTGTGGGTTCAATTCCCACCCAGGACAAATATTGTGTGATGAGCACCGTCATTTGTTCTGTGTCTGGGTGTAATTTATCTATAAAATGTATCTATTGAAAATTATATAAGTATGTTTATCAGTAGTCAAGACCGTGTAGTGACAGATTAAGAATACAGAATGTCACTACCCTAATTCATCACAAGAGTGTTGCAAGAGCCGACTAAGGGCACAACAACAAAAAGAAGAAAAACTTGACACAAACCCTATACCAACCCATCTAGCCAGCGTGGTATAGTAGGTCAAGACCTCTTTTCTAAGGAGAGGCCTACATCCAGCAGTGGACTATTAAAGGTTGTTGATGTGATGTGATGTTTATCAGCAGTCTGATTACCATAGCACAGGCTCAACTTAGTTTGGGATCAGATGGCCGTGTGTGAGAGGTGGAACTGTTTGAATTACTGATACATAGATAAATTTTCTAAAATTACTTAAAAATACCTCAAATTGAGAAAAACATTTATGAATTTGAAATGACAATGGAATACAATTAAGTGTTTGTTTGTGGTATTTAATACAGGTAATTTTTAATACTTTAGCATCAATACTTCACTTTTGGCCTTTTTTGATTGGATAATTTTTACAAACAGTTCCTAACTTAGATTTGCACCGACTGCACAGATGGCGTAGTGGTTTAAGCGGTCGCCACGCCGCTTCCTACTGCGCCGAGTGTTGTGGGTTCAAACCCCACATGGGACGACACTGTGTGATCCACAAATTGCTGTTCTGAGTCTGGGTGTTCTTTGTGTCCGTTTCATGTATGTTTGTAAAGTCCCCCACGACACAGGATATATTCCTAATGCGGGAGTTGTCTTTTTAAAACAAAACAAAAACAAAACAGATTTAGCAGGGGTTTGGATAGTAAGTCCCAGTCATACTAAGCAACATATCATACCCTAATAGTTCCACATTCCTTTAATAAGTAATGTCAACATACTGTTTTACTCATAATCTATTGTACAGTATTTCTTGTATATTTGAGTGAACAATGAGTTATTAAATTTTTTGAATAACCTCTAGCCAAGGGAATACTTATATACTTGTACCTTCTACTTAGAAGTTTTTTTTTTCATCAGGGAGTTCTGCACTTCTTCTTGCGAGGTCCTGGTTGCCCAGGTCGGTGGTGTCACACGCGCCTACGTCCACGTACAAAAGAATTTCTTGAATCTGCATCTCAAAATTACGAACTGCATGTTTGTACATTTGGAGCTCGACAATATGCTCATGCAGTAGCTGATTTACTTGACCCTGAAAAAAAGTACTTTTCACACAGAATTCTGTCAAGAGATGAGTGCTTTGATGCTAGAACAAAAGCTGCAAATCTTAAGTTAGTATAATTATTGTTGCCATTATTAAAATTAGCATTGAAATGTTTTTAACATGGGTGGCAGTCAGGGAGGCCTAAGCTCGCTGTGTCTGTATCCACGTTGAATACTAATCTAGGATGTTGAAGGTAGACTTCAACACAGATAATTCTAGGTTTCGCATTATGTGCAGTTAATGCAAAGTAAGTACACTGCTGGTATTAGTTCTTACACATCTACATATCAAAGCAAAGCTACTTGATATTTAACAGGAGTGTAACATAGTTAAATTCGGAACTAAACTGTAATCCCCATAGTGGAATACTGAATGGGTAATAAGGGACTACTTGCTTAGCAATAGAATACAAAAAGATAATCTTAGAATATATTAAACAAGAGAAAATACCATAAACACTTGTTTGAACTGATAACAATACAAATACAACTTCATATTATTATTTTATTTGCAGGGCATTATTTCCATGCGGCGATAATATGGTATGCATAATTGACGACCGTGAAGACGTGTGGCGACATGCCACCAATTTGATTCATGTTAGACCATATTCATTCTTCCAATCAACTGGGGACATAAATGCACCTCCTCCGCCTGGTAAGAAAGATTCACATTATACTCATGAGCTTATATATCCTCAACAGTGTTCATGTTAACAAACACACCTAAAACATATCATTTGTTGTGCACAAATCTAAACTAGTATTATAAATCTGAAGAGCTTGGTTGAATGCACTAATCTCAGGACTGACTGGTCCGAATTGAAAATTTTGAGTATTTTATAGCTCATTTATTGACGAAGGGGCTAATAGGCACTGAGCATCAACGAAAAATGTTACTAAAGTGGTCAGCTACTAATACATATTATTATTATTAGAGCTTATTAAAATTATGGATGCATCATCGTCCTGTTCAAATGTGTTAATATTTAAATAGGTGATAGAGAAAAATATTTAGCATTGCACTAAAACCTTTAGTGGTGAAGTAGGTCACCAAGACGAGACAACTTGTTTATTGTCACTTTCTGTAGTATAAAAAGATTCTTGTAAATTTACAGAAAACGAAAAAACTAAAATAGCGAGTGGTTTAAACGGCGCCGCACAAGGGAATCAGATGCCGACATTGGACGCTGAGCCTGAACAAAAAGAAAAAGACGCTTCCAAGGACATTGAAAGTAAAGAAGAAGGTGGCAATGGCAAAATACTAACGAAAGATGTCAAGAGTAATAACACTGAGATAAAGAAGAGTGAAGAAGCCGATCAAGAAAGTGACGAGAGAATAGTTCAGGACCCTGCAGAATCGAAGTGGACTGAAACTTCTGATGGACAAATAGAGGTGGAAGACCCAGACGATTATTTAATTTATTTGGAAGATATACTTAAAAGGATACATAAGTAAGAGTTGTTATTGTTTATCAATGATTATTTCCTGAAGTGTTTGCTTTTCTGGCTTCTGATTTTTATTTATTTCTTACTTCTGAGTTGCTTGCACCCCTCTTTTTACTATAAACCACCTTCTAAGTTAAGTAACGGGCATTCTAAATCGCATAAATATGGTCTATATTTTTTCAGGCATTTCTATGATCTCTATGACAAAATGGGCAAAAACCAAATTCCAGACTTAAAGTGTATAATACCTGAAGTAAAGAGTGAAGTTTTAGCTGGCACTAGCTTAGTTTTTAGTGGTTTAGTACCAACACATCAAAGATTGGAAACATCCAGAGCATATCAAGTAGCCAGGAGCCTAGGGGCTGAGGTGACACAGGATTATACCGATAAGACTACACATTTAGTGGCAGTAAGAGCAGGTATTTTTTGTTTTTGGTTTCTTAGATTTTTATATATTAAACCTGACAGCCTAATGTCTTGAAATGAGTGGTCTTCCAAAAATAATATATACATTAATCTATACACGCTTTAAATTTGTTATAAAGTTTTCTTCTGTGTTACAGAAGACTCTTTAGTAAAATTTATAAGCAACCTGCATTTTAGTTTAGTATCACATGGTACAAAAATATTGAGTAATTAGCATCACAAAGTTGTCTCAAGAAATCGCGATTTATTTTCTTCGAGATGAAATATTTTATGTTGAAAATTTGACCTACCATTTTTTTTTGCGAAAATGGGGTCCTTAAATAATGTGTAGTGCCTAAAAAATTAAGGCGGCAACTTCGATTTCACGCTGTATAGATTAGTGATATGACGAATTTTGGATCTCTCATGTTCGCAAATTAGAATGCTACTGTTGACTTTTCATATAAAGTGCGCGCATTTTGAAAGTCCGATGTTTCACTTGGGTTTATAGTGATCCCAGATACAAAATTAATATAAAAATATGTAGGTTTATCTAAAATTAATTGAAAGCGTCATAAAATCATTAATCAATGGAAGTAAACTTCGACTTCAGAACATACTAGCAGTTATATACTCCAGAGAAATTTATCATAAGGGGAGATTATGAAAATAACACAATATATTCCTGTGTGTAAAGAAAGGTGTAATAAACGCTTAGGGGTCACGAATGATAGATTAACTGCATTTAATTAGTTATTTAATTAGTATATTTAATTAGACTGCATGGATGACGTTGTTAAGCGGTCACCTCGCCCTCTCCTACTGCGCTGAGTCTTGTGGGTTCGATACCTACACTTAATAACACTTTCTGATCCACAAACTGTTGTTCTGAGTCTGGGTGTTCTTTGTGTGTTTGTTAAGTCTCCGCGACAAAAGATATGATAGTCTTTTTAAGAGAAAAAAAATGATAAGATGATTCATGTGAACAAAATAAATTATTTAGTACCTGCTTACGTTACGTTACCTAAGAACAATTTTTACAACGCTTACTCCAGGGACGGCAAAAGTGAACGCGAGTCGGCGAATGGGCGACGGAACGGCGAAAAAATTTCACGTAGTAACCCCGGAATGGATGTGGACATGTGCCGAGAGATGGGAGCGAGTCGACGAGAGATTGTACCCTCTACAAAGAGGTGGACAGGTACGTCGTCCTATTTTAATATTTAATTAAGTTCTGTCCAATTCAGATAGTTTACGTAGAGGATGTTAACCTCGCTCCCTTCTCCCCCCAGAGCGGGTGCCGCCGGCCGCCGGCGCACTGCAGCAGCCCGCCGCCCGCGCACGCGCCGCCCGCCGCCGCCGCGCAGCGCAAGCGCACGCCCTCGGGGCGCTTCATGGATACCATCAACCCGCTGCTCTCCTTCTCCACCGACGACATCGCCGATATGGATAGAGAAGTACGCCACTGTTTATAACCCGAGAATATTTATAAATTTTAAGAGCTATAATCACATCACATCAACAGCCTTTAATAGTCCACTGCTGGACATAGGCCTCTCCTTAGAAAGGAGGTTTTGACCTACTATACCACGCTGGCCAGACAGGTTGGTATAGGATTTGTGTCCGGGCTGGGTGTAATCGGGCGCATTGAGGCGCTGGGCTTACGGGTGGCCCTAGATAAGACGGAGGCCCTGTTATTTCATGGGCCCCGTCGTGGTCCACCCCCTGGCGCCTCAATCGTGGTCAACTCGGTCCTCGTACCGGTTCGGGCCCAGATGAAATATGATCCTCGACGGGAGGTGGCTCTTCGACGAGCACTTCCGACAGCTTGCTCCAAAGCTGGTCGGCGCTGCGTCTGCCCTAGGGCGACTTTTGCCCAATATGGGTGGACCCAGCGTCGCGACAAGACGGCTGTACACGGGGGTTGTCCGGTCAATGGCACTGTACGGTGCACCGGTGTGGGCGGCGGCTCTGACCGCCCAGAATAGGGTACGCCTCTGGCGCCCTCAGAGGGTAATGGCGGTCAGAGCCATACGCGGTTACCGCACCGTTTCGACGGAGGTGGCGTGCGCGTTGGCCGGAACTCCCCCGTGGGATTTGGAGGCGGAAGTGCTCGCCGAAGTTTATCGGCGAGTGGCTGACTCCCGGGCGGAGAGCGGATTTCGCCGTCCGCCCGAGGATGTGCGCGAGTGGCGCGAAGCCGCTCGCCGAGCCACGATGGCTCGTTGGTCGTTCCGGCTGGAGACTCCACGCGCTGGCTTCGCCGCCGTGGAGGCTCTCCAGCCGGTCATCGCCGAGTGGGCAGGGCGGCAGCACGGGACCCTTTCCTTCCGGCTGACGCAGGTGCTTTCCGGGCACGGTTGCTTCGGAAAGTACCTGCACACGGTCGCTAGGAGGGAACTGAGTCCCGCCTGCCACCACTGCGACTGCAGTGAGGACTCGGCCCAGCACACGCTGGCGGTCTGCCCCGCATGGGCGGCGCAGCGCCGGGCCCTCACTGCAGTCATCGGAGTGGATCTCTCGCTACCGGCCGTAGTACGCTCCATGGCCGGTAGCGACAGTTGTTTTACCGCGGTCGCAACCTTCTGCGCGGTAGTAATCTCGCGGAAGGAGGCGGCGGAGAGGGCCCGGGAGGACGACCTCCACTCGGTCCCGATCCGCCGCCGGCGAACCGGGCGGCGGAGGCCCGCCTATCACAGCCTCATGCCGCCCTGAGTGTGGCCGCGGGTGGACGGGGTGGGATTCCCCTCCACCCGCATTAGTTTGGCCAGCCGCGAGGGGGCGGCGTCCGCGTGTGCCGGACGTCGCCTAAAGAGAGGAAAATATATTGAGACGGAGCCCGCACCAGGAGCGCTAGGAGGGGTCCGGATGTCTTAACAACAGCTGTTCCCGGATCCCTCCTGTTACAGGCGCAGAGTGGCACACCGTGTGGTTTTAGTCGGTCCGTGTCCGACACACCACCCCGCCGCAAACCCCGGAGGGGTGAAGGTCCGAGGGGATTTCCACACGTTAAAAAAAAAAAAAAAAAAAGATTTGTGTCAAGTTTTCCTTCTCTTTGCAATGCTGTTGTCCGGCGTAGTCTGTTCCCTTAGCCTTAATCCGTCACCACACGGATAAAAAGCTATAATAAAAATTATAAACTAGTCTTTTAGTGTATTCATCATTATTGACAGCCCCTAACAGTCTACTGCTGAACATAGGCCTATCCTTATAATGGTGGTTTAGGCCTACTATACCACGCTGGCCAGACGGGTTGTTTTAGTGTGTCTAGTTGTTTTAAATAAATAAATAAAACTGATTTCGACTACCGCATGTTTTTTTTATTCCTGAACTTAAAGAATAATAACTTCTTTTTTTTATTTCAATTACATAGTTGTTTTTCTAGCACCTATTCTTCTATTTATTCATTTTCTAGCACCAATCGTACCACAGAAAATCAATGTCATAATAAATATGTATCCTGAATCTGTACGTCTATAAAAAATCTATACCTTTGCAGGTCGAAGACATATTCAACGAATCAGATGAAAGTTCTTCAGATGACGAAAAACCGGGTGATGACGACTTAGATGATGAAGAAAATCCTCCAGAAGATAGATTAATATCTGTTAGCGCCGAAAATAGTTTACAAGACAGGTAAGAACGAGTCGTTAAATCTCGATCATTTTACACAAAAATTTGGTTCCAATGCACACCTAGCTAATAACAGCTAGATAACAGATTCATTCTGACGTGATTATTATGATTTTTTACTATGTCATCTTTATTAGCGACAATTATTTATAAAGTATATCTACCGAAGTCATGAAACTTAAAAATTGAAAACTATTCCAAAAATAGATATAAACATATTAATACTTTTTTTTACATTTCACCAGAATGATACGGTTTCTAATATTTATATATTTAATGACGCACACACTTCCCAATAAAATATAAATCAAGGGCCATAATTTTATTAGTCTATTTCCTAATTGTTATGTACCTTACTTAATTCTAGGTTACAAGACTCACAGGAAGCCGAAGGAACAAATGGATCAGATGATGCAGGTCAGTAGAGTAATCACAAATTTAAAATAATATAATATTTGCCATTCCCTCAGATGTAATTATCAATATAGCAGTTAAATTTTTTATTACAAAAAATCGTCATAAAATCCTACAAGTACAAAATTGTATTGATCTTTCATTATTTACCTTAAATACCCCAATATTGGAAAGCGTCCAAGATGGTAACACTACTATTCTATGCTATTTGCATTTTAGCCTTAATTTAACTAACCTTAATTTAATTGCAGTAGCATTATAAATAGTGGTATATATAAAACTCACAGTAAGCCACATAGCACACATATCTACTCGGAAAGGGATCGTCACCGTATCTACTCGAGCAGTCTAGTATTCTTTGTGTAACTTCTTACTGCAACGCTCTCTAATCCGAATGGTAACGTAATAGTTTTGCCTCGGACACGCTCGCGAACCGCGGTGTGGTGCGTAGTCAACTTGCAGTTCCCGCGCTTATGTTTGTCGTCCCTTTGCTTACGGCTCGACGTTTAGATTAACTTGTTACTTTGCCTTACAAATTTTCTATACTCTTACAGATGAAGAGCCTAGACCCCGCAAGCGACCTCGACGGTCGTCACCGCCTTCAGATGAAGAGCCGCCAGATGATGATGACAGCTCGTGGAACCTCATGGGAGCGGCGCTTGAAAAAGAATTATTAGCGCAGGACTGATACCACCTACACAAGCAATATTTACAAATTATGAGTCTAAGACAAAATAAAATAGTGTTTTTGTCTAATTTATGTTTTGTTTGAATTGGTAATGATATATTTGATTCGTCAGATCTTATATTTGCTTATAGATAAATCAGCCATAACAAATTTGGCGTTCATTATGTTGGCCAGTTCATGCCGACAACTTCGTCGTCCACGAAAAATCTATACATAGACTTCTCACATTTTATTATAGCATTATGTACAGTAAAGGGTTCATAAGTGCAGTAGCATCGTAATATTCATTCGCGTTCATTATGCGTGATGTATTAATTCACACACACATAATAACCAGACAATACTGACGTCTACAAAAGTTGTTGATTGGTCACACGAGTGTGTGCACTTGATAAATACACCTACTTATAGGTGTATTTTATTTAGATACTCTTTGTATCGAACTCGGTGGTAGCATCTATCTGAAAGTGATTCTAAAATTCATCTTATTAGTCATTAGGACTAGTGACAGAATTGTGCTATTAGCGAATTACACTGTATAATTGATCATTGTTCGAAAGTGGTGACAATTCGATCCTTAGCGCCTGTTGACTTTTTGTTTTCATGACAGGATATAAATTTTTAGAACTCTGTTCCTTTAAAATGACTGTAGTTTACGGAATAAAAAGGGTACAATATGTAATAATAAAAAAGTTATTATTTTTCATAAGATCATTTATTGATACCACTATTTACCTTAAAGAAAAAACAACTTTGTAAATAAAAACATTTAAGTATTATATTTTCGTGAACCATTTTGATTGCTGATACAATTTGTTCTTGTTATTGTATAGAGGTTTATAGCTTAATTTGTTTATTTTCTCAACGAAAAGAAGATTGAAACTTAACCTTCCTTAGTCCTTAGTCTTAGTCCTTCCGTGCGTGTAGCATCAGCTGATTTCTGTCTGATTCTGTCGCGCATGCGCATAATTGGCTTGGAAATGCCACGACGATTTTTTACTGTTTACAATATTAATTATTGAATATTACAAATTAAATTAGGGCAAGGGCAATTTTTTTACGCTTGGTAGAGTAAAAAATAATCATTTTTCAAAGAGATATGGCTATTTTAAGTAGAGGAAAATTGAAAATTATATTTCTATTTTTCCTGGGAAAACGAAAAAGGGGCTTATAAATTAATTAACGTAGGTCGAAAGGGCTAATTGAGATCTATAAAATGGGATTTTTTTTATTTTGAAATTTTAATATCTGCAGGCTGGGACGTGCCCGGTGACATAGACCTCTCCTATAGATATAAAACAACTGGTTTAAAACGTTTTAAACAAAATGTTGCCGTTTTAAACGGTTGAAAATTCGCCCACAAAAATAAAAGAACTGTGTTTTACGTTTTAATTAGTTTATAGAAAATTAATAGAAAGTACCTACCTACCACAGGAAAACTTAAGTATGTAGGTATACCTACCTATATTTATTTATTATATTATATTACACACACTAGATTAGAAGACATCATTAACACAGTTGCCGACCGTTTTACTTGTGCATGAAAGAGACATATGTCTTCGCACCGGTGCCGACGGTATCAACGAGAGTTTGAGTTTGGTTTTATACCGAATCAAATTGATTATTTATATCGTTTGAAAACAATTAAAAATGGTTATTTATTAACACAGAGTTTTTAACTTATCAATAGTTTGTATAACTTAGGTAGGTAATACCTTCAATTGGTCGGACTAAACCCGCTAAGTATATCAACATCAGTATATCACACATATAAAAAATCTTCACACAGTTTATAGGTACTTCCTAACTCGGTAAAATCAAGAAACTAGTTATAATTAAGAAAAACAGTCATCACAACCAACCATTTTAAATCGAAAAAAACAATGGTTTTAAACTGTTTTTTTTTTGTCGGTAAAATCAAGAAACTAGTTATAATTAAGAAAAACAGTCATCACAACCAACCATTTTAAATCGAAAAAAACAATGGTTTTAAACTGTTTTTTTTTGTCGGTAAATTCAAGAAACTAGTTATAATTAAGAAAAACAGTCATCACAACCAACCATTTTAAATCGAAAAAAACAATGGTTTTAAACTGTTTTTTTTTGTCGGTAAAATCAAGAAACTAGTTATAATTAAGAAAAACAGTCATCACAACCAACCATTTTAAATCGAAAAAAAACAATGGTTTTAAACTGTTTTTTTTTGTCGGTAAATTCAAGAAACTAGTTATAATTAAGAAAAACAGTCATCACAACCAACCATTTTAAATCGAAAAAAACAATGGTTTTAAACTGTTTTTTTTTTGTCGGTAAAATCAAGAAACTAGTTATAATTAAGAAAAACAGTCATCACAACCAACCATTTTAAATCGAAAAAAACAATGGTTTTAAACTGTTTTTTTTGTCGGTAAATTCAAGCAACTAGTTATAATTAAGAAAAACAGTCATCACAACCAACCATTTTAAATTGAAAAAAAAAATGGTTTTAAACTGTTTTTTTTTTTTCGTTTTAAACGGATTAGTTTTCAACCGGCCTTACATCTATAACCTCTCCTTGGAAAAGACGTTTTGGCCTAATTTACCACGCTGGCCAGACGGGTTGGTAAAGGGTTTGTGCCAAATTTTTCTTCTCTTTGTAGTGCTGCTCTTTCGTAGTTTGCTCCCTTAGTTCTTACGACACCCATGGGATGAATTGATGTGGTGGCACTCCGTATTCTTATCCGTCACCACGCTGACAATCTATACTTACATCAAGAATAGTAGGAGGGGGGGGGGGTCATGTACCCGCCCGTCATGTAGATGGCACGAGGTACCAGGGATTTCCTTTCTGGAGTACAACTGGTACCCGAGACGGCGTGTGATTTTTGGTCAGTTCGAGTCTGAGATAGCCACCGGTGGGTGCCATCTGAAGGCATAAAGCAAAGAAAAAAAAAATAGGCAGCCCATGAGGACCTATTGCATTTGAAAGATTATGTAATAGAATGAATAAAAGTTATAAAATGTTTCCACTTTAAGTGGTGTGAAAAGCTACATGTTTTCAAAAATGTAAGAGCAGGAAATCGAAAAAAAAAATAGGGGCATCATATATTTTGGGGATATGGTTTTTGAATGAATGCTCCCAACCTTTTAGGTCTGACGATCTTAAAGTGACACAAGCTCGTAGAAAATTATCGAAAATTCAAACTGCAAATCCGTAAAATCGCTGTTTCGAATACAAATACCCGAGCGTGGTACATTTTTTGCAGACGGTTCAGCTTAATGTTCATACTAGTCAGAAATCTGACGATAATTTTGCAGGGTATTTTATAATCTATTTTAAGTTTTTTTTATGTGACAAATAAAGGCACAATAAATAATGCCGGAGAATGATACCTAAGTGATTTTTTTCTATTGAAATAATTATTTTTTATTCTTAGTTCTGTTCTAAAATTTTTAAAGTTCGTTCGGAGGTAAAGGCATAAAAATATAACTGCTAGAAAATAATATCCGGATCCGGTAAGCTCACTTACTCGATTAAAAGAAACGGGAGAATTGTTCTTCTGTAAGGCCGTGGTATCACTCCGGTAGAGCCTTCCCATTTGTATAGAAGCCGAAGAATAGCTCTCCCACGGTATGAATTGAACTTTTGTGCAATTCCTCATCTCTCTCGTTCCACTGAGATACTATCTCGGATCACACACATATATGCGATAGAGAATGCAGAGGAAAGCCACATCTCTGCGTAACGCCAAGGGAACGAGCTGATCAGAGATGTTTATCGCTTTTCGTTGGATACCAGCCGTCCAAAGGGGTACCCCCCTTTGGACGGCTGGTATCTTTGGGTTTGGTACTGAGGTGCCCCCGGGCTTGCGCCTACAGCTAAAGGCGGTTGGCCGGAGTAAAATACTGCCTCGATCTGTTTAGCACACCGAGCTTCTTCGAGGCCAATTTGACCTTACCCTCTAAGCGACCGCGAAACTGGAATTCACTCGATATGTCGATGCCTAGGATTCCGATGCTGGCTGAGGCAATTAGGGAGGTGCTCTCAAACCGAGGTGATACGACAATACGTATCTTCTTTGCGGCGAACTCACAGACCTGTGTCTTATTTGGGTTGAACTGGACTAGATTTGATGGGCCCCAATCTGAAACCTCCACTAAGGAAGTTTCAATTGTAGACACAAGTTTGTTTCGACTCTCGGTGACGTTTTTCCAAGAAATAATTCGTCGCGGCCGGTGGAAAGGCCATCTTCCATGCTATCATCAGCATAGCAATGGATGCTTCTAGTTTGCAACATGTCATTGATATGCAGAAGAAACAGTGTGGTTGATGGCATACAGCCTAGTGGGACACCAGCATTTACGAATTTCAAGTCGGAGCATGAAATTCAGCATTAGATGTTTTCCATCAATAAAATTCCTTACTTAGCCTGGTGCTCGTGGCTCGTGGCTTCGAATCCTGACCAGTAAACTACCGGCGTGAACCCACTCCTAACACAAGCAATTTAGCTTAGTTGGAGGGGTTAACGGGAATACTAATAATTTCGGTTGCTAATAAGCCTTTTCACAAAAAAAATGAATTTCCTTTAATTTAGGATAACTCCGAAAGAAGCAAATTCAAAATACTGTATAACGAAAATAAATTTAAACCAAATGTGCTTTGTTTTAACCCTTTGAAAGGAAAAGCAACTTAAAACTATCTCGATCAACGTAACACTTCAACAATCGACTACACAACACACACCTTCGCCCATCACTATATGTCATATGTTATTGAATTCGTAACTTTGGTTGTGGGACAATTTTCATAATATAAATATAATAAGTAGTATTACATTAATACTATTGAATAATGGCTAGAAATCTAGGCGAGGCTGCAAAGAAATTTTTATTACTTGGTCAATGTGTCCCTACAGTAAAACAAAATGCTGCCAAAATTAGAGTTAAAAGGTTAGAATTGGACGAAAATTTACTAATGGTTTGTAACTTGTAAATGGGCTAATAGTCAATATATTTCATAATATTTACCAATAATAAACTTCCTTTATATATTCAGTATTTCAGAAAGGATGAATTTTATTATTGTCATGATCCTCAAAAAATGTGCAAGACGGGCGATATTGTACTCATTCAGGCTTTACCACAAAAACTTACCAAACTAATCACTCATGAAGTCAAAGAGGTGGTTTATGATTTCGGCGACATAACTGATCCCGTATCAGGCAAGAAAGTTGCTAAAGATAGGTATAGAGAAGACATTGACAGAGAGGCTGAATTATATGGAAAACTTAAGTCAACATTTGACTACAATAAAGCCCCATCAAGAGGCTGGCAAGACGGCAAAAAGGACTTTACATCTAAACCCACATACACAAAGTTCCATGTATTTGATAAAAATGATCCTTATGCCATTTAGATTATAAATAATTTTATTATTGTAATATATTAGTACTAAAATATATTGTTGTCGCTCATACAGCACTGCAGAAGAACATTTTGTAAATAATTCGCTGTGCAAACTCATGTATGTTTGTATTAAATAAAATAACACATTACAAAAAATATTTTTTGCACGACTTTGGGTTATTTACAAACTGCTTTATGCGGCTTTGGCGCCAATGACAATAAAGTAGTGTTTATCATGACATAATGTACTTTCAATTCAATAATACCTAGGTTTCGCCCTAATCTTATTAAAACAAACATATTGTTATCCAAAAAGGCATTGAACTATTTGTTAGAAAAGTTTCCTTTTTTAATCATATAAAGATCATTAATTTTCATTCTTAGGTAGATCTAAGAATGAAAATCGATTTAAAGACCAGTGAAAATGGTTACTTAACTGTTTCGACTTTCTATTTATTTATTATATATACTAAAGACCACCTGGCGTTTGAAATCTGACCATTTTGAATGTCTTGTTTTATTTCATTGACCAGTATGTCTTGGCTTGAATGGTCATTGTATAGACTTGTCATGAGAGGGCGAAATAAATCCTGGATGCTTGTAGCACTTTCAATATTCGACTATAGCTCAGATAGTTTAACAAAAATCCTTTCTGTTCTTCTTTCTATGTTAAACATTAAGTATCCAAATATGAAATATGCTCCCATTAGCAATGCTGGTTTATAAAGGGGTACATAAAATTTTGTTCATAATATGCAGGTAAAGCAAAGAAAAATGAAAACTGTCCACAGTATAGAAATTATATCTTTATTACAATAAAGAATTCAAATACATCTAAACAAATTAACATTACTCAAGTTAATATTAAATTTACTTTTTTAACCCATTTTATCCCAAGATAACAATGAATTTTAGTATTATCAGCCAATAACAACCAGCCCTTTCTACCTAGTTTGGATTGTACTTTACAATAAGCAAAGAATATCACAATTTATAGACCAGCACCATTTTAACTAATGTATTGGTAATTATTTAAGCAGGAATCAATTTGGTGATAGGCTTTACAACAGTTACTAAGGCGGCTATAGAAGACACAGCTCCTAAAGCCCCAACTGTACTAGGACTTAATTTCGTTAATCCTAGGGCAGTAAGTGGAATAAATATGTCACACGAGTTCTTTAATGTGTCAATAAAAACGTCATTGTGACATGACATAAACATGTACAGATATTTTATGCCACCAGTCCAATCATAATTTCTTATTGACGTGTTCAACAGTTCTGATGGTTTTAAGAATCTTGATTTATGCAATTCCAATAAATGAAGTATTTCATACAAATCTCTAGCCAGATTTGCGATTATTGACAAAAGCCAGAATTTATTTGCAGTTCGGTTCCATTTATCTGAGTCAGTCTTGAGGAAGCCGCTTTTCGTGAGCCACACGATGTGATCTGCATACAGGAATAACCCATTTGCCAATTTGCTGATAGTCAGAGTCAATCGCAATATTGGGTCTTCAATATGCATACTATTTAAGGCATTGTAACAAGTATCTATGCATCTTCCAAGTCTTAAGACTGAAAAAGAAAATCCATAACTATGTATAAAAAAATATCATGATAAATTGTAATAAACTGCATCAAACAGGCAATTCTTTAAATAAAGACAAAAAAGGTTTTTTTCTTCTTGACTTCAAGAATAAAAATATTCTTTATAATGTATAACTCATCCGTCACTACGTCATATGTGCAAAAAAAATGTGAATGCAGTCAGAAAGTATAACATTTGTTTCATAGTAAGCAGTGTCTTTAATTTCTGATCACCTCTTCAAATAATACTTTATCTGATGCAAAAATAAGTGTGTGAGATTAGAAAAAACAACATTATTTTATATAAGGAGTAAATGGGCCACCTGATGATAAGAGTCAAGTGTGTTGCTGCACTAAGTGCCGCCTCACAGATGAGTTGGGAGGTTATGACTCCAGTAACCTCGGTCACTCAGTTAAAAGAACTGCATAACACGGCCCATAAATGCCAAAATGTATCTTTTAATGTTGTAACAGTATTGACTTTGAAACTATACTTACTTTTTCTGAATGAACTTAGAGTAAGTTCTAAATTTTTTATTCTATCAACAGAGTATTTATTAGCATGTCTTATTTCCAATTGATGCCAAACTAAGCGACTGGTATATTGTATAAGCCTGGAAGATAACATTAAATAATTTTATTACAATATTTAATCCAATATTACTAATGGATACATGGGATAGGTACAACCAAGTTTCAAATTTAAATTGAATGCGCGGTTTATTGGTGATCATCATCATCAACAGCCTTTAGTAGTCCACTGCTTAGAAAGGTTTTTGGCTTATAGTAATATATAATATTACTATAAACTATATACCACTCTGTTGAGATGGGCTAGTTTATTTCTCGTAAAAAATTATTTTATAAATAAACATTACCTTGCTAATTTGTCTCGTCCGTTCGATTGGTTATTAACCTTTATAACAACATCCATTGTTATCGTTCCTATTTATTGTTATAGGCTCATTGAGCTTATTTTTATTTTTTCCTTCCAGCTCTCACACAGGCACTATAGAAGTAACAATTTTAATTAAAACTTCTGCTTTTATCTTGCTTTCCTACTACAACACAGTACACATTCGTATTATTTTATTTCACTTCATTAGCCTTGTACTTTACACTATTCACTTTTAATTATCTTTGGATATCTACCGTTTTATGGCTTATTATCCATTATCAAACTTAGTTCAGTTATATCGGCCATGAATAAATATTTATTGCTTATTTATTACAGACGTTAAATAACACCCGACTATTCTATTGTGTTTCCTAACCCACAACCTAGATAAACTAAAGCCAACACAAAGTACAAACGAACACTAGCTAACATAATATATGTTGTTACTGATTTGGGGATAAACTATTTAAATAAGGTTTGTTTATCTTATATAATAATAAATACAAGAAAATGGCAATAAAAATAACAACGTCAAAAGTAGTCAAAACACTGACTTCAACACAATACCATAAACAAGAATGTACAGGGCAGCGACAATGAAAAAAAAAACAAGAATCAGTGAATTTTTTAAATTCAGTATTTACAAAGCTTACTCCTTCCTAAAAGGCCGGCAACGCGTTTGTGACTCCCGAGTTGCAGACGTTCATGGGCGGCGATGGTTACTTTCCATCAATCGTCTGCAAGTCTGCCCACTCTAACATAAAAAAAAACAAATTCTTTAAAAGTTGGCCGAATTTGGTGTGCTTTGTCATCATCGAGACGGTGATGTGTATTATAAATGTGAATCATGATGATGATGGTGTACTTGAGACTAAAAGACTAGTAGCCGGAGTGAGAAGTTAAAGTTCAAGAGTAGAAGATGAATGATAAACCTCTTCTTTCTCTTCAGAGAACTCTCTTTCTTTTTTGTTTTTAGTTTTTAAAATAGTTTTTTGTTTGTTTTTAGTTGTTGTGTGATAAACCTCTTCTTTCTCTTTAGAGAACTCTCTGCCTTTTTTTGTTTTTAGTTTTTAAAATAGTTTTTTATTTGTTTTTAGTTTTTGTGTGTGCAGCAAAAGTAATTGGTTATGGAAACACGAAAGAACGGTCTACGGTTGGCACCCCTGACCGGAAGTTTGCCGTGAAAAACTGTCAGTGAAGGGAAGCGGGGCGGGGGTCGTTGATTCATCAAAAAAGAGAACAAGCCAAGCGAAGCAGCCGGACGCGAATATCGGTCAGCCATATTGTTAAGGCTACTCAGCGATGCGTGAGCTCTGTTTGAGTGACTTGGCATTAGTTTTTTTCGTTTCTTGTTTTGTGAGTTGCTATATTCCGTGGTAATTAAATATTTTGTGCAGAGTGGAGGTGTCTTGTGAACTAAGTGATTCGAATCACGAATTTCATTGTGGTAAGACTAAAACTTTAATGTGCGTTGTGGTGATTCTGGAACAAAGCGACATTTTGAAGTGACGTGTAATGTTGTGCATTTCAGATAGTGGTTCGTCAAACTGAGCTTTCATGATTGGATTACCGCGTAGCGATAGAGATAGAGATCGAATAACGGTGAAAATTCGTAACATGAAGAGAAGTTCGTCAAGAGACAGTATGCCGCGATCGAAAAGAACTCGCAGTAGCATAGGTCGGTATGACGATAGTTCTGATGAGCGTGTCACCCCTGAGAGGGTGCGGCGCCGGGTGCGCTCACCAAGTCCCCGCGGTCGGTACGTTTCTCCACATCGCGATGATTATGTGCGCTCCCGTGATGTTAGAGAGGATTCTGTGCGTCCTTATTACAAGGTACTATGTGTTAGTGCGTTACACCCTAAAGCTTCGGATGATATTGTCAAAGATACGTTGTACAGAGAATACAAGAAATTCGGTGACTTCAGTATTAAAATATCTCATGAATTAGACGAAAGAGTTGCCTATGTATGCTTCAGAAGTGCTGAGGATGCAAGAGATGCCAAACATGCTAAACCCCGTATAATTTTGTATGATAAAGTTGCTATAGTTGACCCCGTGTATGAACCTGTTCGTGCAGAATATAGAAGCCGGCCAAGAAGCATGACGCCACCAGATTATGACCGTCCTTATTCCTATGCCTGGTCTCCAGTGCCTGAAAGGCGTAGGCCACCTCCTGATGATAGGGCTTATGGTATTCCACCAACTGTCCCACCGCATCACAGAGATTTTCGTCCTCCAATGCATGAGTATCCTATGGCAGGTCCCCATGGTCCTCCAATGCACCATAGACCACCCATGCATCACCCGCCTCATCCTCATTACATGCCGCGTCCATACATGCCTCGACCGCATCATCCTCCATTTGAAAAAATTGAGAATAAGAAAGATAAATTTCCCAATTACTTACACCACGTCCAGCCAGAAGATGATCCACTAGCTACTAGGACTCTCTTTGCGGGTAACTTAGAAATTAATATATCTGATGAAGAGCTCCGCCGTATCTTTGGTCGCTATGGGATTGTTGAAGACATTGATATTAAACGTCCCCCTCCTGGCACTGGCAATGCATTTGCTTTTGTTCGTTATCAGACATTAGACATGGCTCATCGAGCTAAAGTAGAACTTTCTGGACAATATATTGGCAAATTCCAATGCAAAATAGGATATGGTAAAGCTACGCCAACTACCCGTGTTTGGGTTGGTGGTTTAGGCCCTTGGACTTCTGTAGCTCAGCTGGAGAGGGAATTTGATAGATTTGGGGCAATCAAAAAAATTGAATATGCTAAAGGGGAACCTCATGCATACATTTTGTATGATTCTATAGATGCCGCTCAGGCTGCTGTAAAAGAAATGAGAGGTTTTCCTCTTGGTGGTCCTGAAAGACGACTTCGCATTGATTTTGCTGATGTCGGGACTGGGGGTCCATACAGACCAAAGCCTTATGCACCACCAGTTGGTGAAGATGGTAGGCCTGTAGAGGGGTATGAGGGATATGAAGCTTGGGATGAAAATTATGCTTATGGCACACCTGGATACAGAGGCAGAGGAGGTCATCGTGGCAGAGGGCGAGGAATGTATAGAGGTGTATATCATGGTGCAGGCGATTATCGTGACGAAGAGTGGAGGCGCGCCCCTGCTGACGCAGAATACGAAGGAAGGACACGTCGATCTGGATCACGAGAGCCTGGAGTCGATCGATCTCGTTCACGATCACCACGGCGTCGTTCCCCAGACAGCGATTCAGATGGATCACCACGCCGAAGTGGTGGCATGCTAGCTTCTGCTAGAACACTTCCTGAAGTTGTACGCAAGGCAACCACAGTGTGGAATGGAGCACTAATTTTGAAAAACTCTCTGTTTCCTACAAAGTTCCATTTGACTGATGGAGATTCCGAAATCATTGATAGCCTCATGAAAGATGAGGATGGCAAGAATCAACTTAGAATAACACAGAGACTACGACTTGATCAGCCAAAATTAGATGATGTCCAGAAGCGTATTGCCACATCCAGCTCTCATGCTATATTTTTAGGAGTAGCAGGTTCGACAGCTTCTATTACTAATGAAGATGCTAGTATTCAAACTAGACCAATGAGAAATTTGGTTTCCTACTTGAAACAAAAAGAAGCTGCTGGTGTAATATCCCTCTTGAACAAAGAGACTGAAGCTACTGGTGTTTTATATTCTTTTCCACCCTGTGAATTTTCCACTGAGCTTCTAAAGAGGACATGTCACAATCTTACAGAGGAAAGTTTAAAAGAAGACCATTTGGTGATTGTAGTGGTGCGTGGAGGTTCTGCGTAGTATCATAATTAGTATTGTCTGCATACCTAAGTGTGCACATTTAGTATAAGTTCTGTATAAAGGTTTTATGAGACAAAATTGTCATGTATTGTCTTGTGATGTGTAGTGATGTGAGGTGACTGTATACATTGTTAAGTGAATTATTCACAATGTGCAAGTGCTGTGTGAGCTCACACTTGTAGTGACAGCAATAATTGTTATTGGAGATATGTAGAAATAATTTTTGCTAGCATACATCAAGTATTTTTTCATTTTTCAGTGTTTATTTATGATAATAAAGGTTATAGTGTATACTTTTCAGTGTATGGTTAGATAGGTGATGTGTAGTGTAAGTGTGTGGACTTGCAAATAGAATATTTCATCTTATGATGTAGTTTTTTTAAAACCTTGTGAGTTGTGATGAGTATCTTTGTGCAGTTGTTGATACAACAGTGACTAATGTGATGTTCTAATGTGCCTCAGTGATAAGTTATCACTAGAGTGAAAGTTTAAATTCAGTCACTGCTCAAAATATATGTGAAAATGCTTTAGATCTAAACCATTCAGTGAAGCCCTGTGTTAGTGTTGTTGTGGTTGATAATGACAATAAAATTGTTTAAAAAAAACAATTGCAAGTGTAGGTAACTAACTGAATAATACAGTGACGAAAGGCCTGAAGGTCTGTTATTTTAGTGAATTGAGCAATAGTGAAATAGATTGTTAGATATACAGCAGTTGGTAAGTATTGTGCTGCACGCAAGTGATAAATTCTAACTTCTCTGATCCCTACTCAGAGTAATATCCTGGTAGTATCGTCATCCTTTCATACTGAAAATACCTTGCCTAATTGAAATTAATATTTATTTCGCATACAATTCTTGCTATACATTTTTAATGAATTCAATCTAATAAATTGACTAAAACATGTCTGAAACAGTGAATTAGTTAGGTTGGTTAAAATATTATAAATAACACCATTTTTTGACAATAACAAAATGGTACCACAATTATTTTATGTACGATCAATCAATTTTTATTGATTTGTACTAAACAACAATAGGTAACATGTCGGTAACCACAATAAATGATATTAATGAGATGTTTGGGGCTAACAAACTAGTCATGAGTGGGTGCTTCTAGGTTACTAATTATATTTGATTCTTGTTGATAACACATAAGAATTGATGTGCAATTGAGAACCTGTGAGCAATATTCTAAAATCAATAATTTTAGGTCATCAAACCCATTGCAGAGTGCATTGCAGCTAAGCCAGTGATAACTTCCTAAGATGGGGAGAGTGTGAGTATACATATAGTTGGTAAGAATTTAATAAAAGTAGACCATGTGTCATCAGTCAACAAGTGATAGTCATATCTATATATTGCCATGTTAACATGGTGGTCTGTAATATAATTTAACGATCAATCAATATACCTTTTTTTAACTAAAAAATCAAGATAGTAATTTTGATTCAAATCAGTTCCATCAATAATATTTACTGTTTTTATAATTCCCAGTAGCTCTAAGCTATAAGCGTGTGCTAAATGCCAGTTAGGTACCTTTTATTTTTGTCCAGTCATTAGTATATATTTCTGTAAATAGATAAAAAATAGTCCTACAATGCTACAATTACCGTTTCGTCCCGACATCTATTAAGTGAACATTGGTGTGCGTTATCCCAGCAAAATAATGTCTAATTTCGTCATTAAAATTTTATAGATAACTAGTTGCCCAGTTTCAGTAATTTTTAACTACATTTTTAAATTTGTTGCACCCATAGTTTAATCACAAAATCATTTACTGCTGGAGTAATGTTATTGCAGCCAGACTTTCTTTTTTAATTGAAATATTGAAATAAATATTAGCTATATAATTAGTTGTATAAACGAGGTAAATGTTGCAACTTATTTTGTATTTGTTTTGCGGCTGCAAAGTAATTCGAGATCCCGCTGGAGTAACGTTTGTGGGTTTGCTGGATCTCTTAAACGGGTAAGCGGATTCTTACCATCTTTTGTAGTACACATCTTAAGAATTAGTTTTAATTTATTGTGCAATAAAAAAACAAAAATAATGCACCGTTTAAAGATTATTTAATTAAGTATAATCCGTCTGTTAGCAACCCTAGAAGACACTTTCTACCAAATCGCGTGGTGACCATTTGGAATAGTTTACCGGAAAGTGTAATTAGTGCTGGATCAGTGAACATTTTTAAAAACAGACTAGACGAACATTTAAAAACAACAAAATGAACACAAGTGATCTGCTAGTGCATTATAGAATAATAATAATATAAATACACTTCAATAGTTCCCAAACACTTTGAATAAGATATCTAAAGACAAACGCTATTTTGTAGCTTGTAACCGCCTTCAAATGCATTTGAAGTTTCATTAGTATTCTGTAAGTAATTAATAAATTATGATGAAATGGTAGCTCTTCACGTTCACGGCCACAATGCGCGCGGAATTATTTGGTCACAGATAAACCTGTGTGTGGATGTATAAACAATGTTTTACCTATCAATTATTAGTTAGTTCAGTTTTATACCTTTAAGATTGTATAGTACATACAATAATTAACAAAAGACAAAACATTAAGAAGTGCAAGACCGTGGTAACCCGACCATGTTTAGGTGGCTACGAAAAGCGATCGCGTAGTACATTATGCTGCCTCCTAAAATGTTTAGTCTTATACACCTTAAGAGTTCGGTACAGACGCGTACAGTGATAATACATATCATTATTATTACTTATAATCCCGTAGAAAATATACCGATATTTTCTACGGAATCTTAGGTACTAGTCTCTTAATTTTAAATCTCTTTAAATATTTTTAACTACCGGAGCTAAAATCAACAGAAAATCTTCACGGGCCCCCTTTTATAAATTTCTGCCCAAAACACAGTCAATAAATAAAAATATTTTATTTGTTCGAAGTTTTACTGTTTCTACTATTTAATACACCAAATGCTGAGGATTTTTTTATAATAACCTCTGATATGCCGCTACACTGTACAGTGCTTACCGGTGAAAGCACTTTACAGCGTAGTGATATATCAGAGGGGTGGCATGTGAAGAGATCATGTCTTTTACTTTGAGAGAATGTAATTTCAAGATGTGGTGAAACCGAATCGTTAAATATTTTTCCGCAAAATATTTAATATGACTTGTGTTCTATTTCGGCGAAAGTATTTTGGGTTATTAGCACACTTGAATATAACATTTTAATGTCGAAAATATCGACATTCTTTTGCTCGGGTAATAGCACAGGGAACATGAACAGTTGTTTACCCTTATTTCCAAAGCGTTGCAGGATGGATTACTACCCACCGTCCTACCTTTGTGTGCTCATTATAACCGTGCTCCTAATTCAACTTAAGAAAAAAACTCTTAGCCGTTACTGAGATTTGTAATGATCTATTAGAAATTAATGAATAAAATTAAATTGTCGTTCTTTGTTAAACATTGCAATTCATATTTGTATGAACATTTCAAGATAAAACTAAGCGCCTGAACTTTACTATTATTGGAATGACACAAACAGTCTATTATTGATGATATGAATTTGCAGCGTTTTGGGCGTAAAATTTGCCAAGATATTTATTTGTGTTTGTTGAATTCATTATTAAGATTTAAAGGTATCTGCAATTGTTTGTGTTCCCTTCATTTCTAGCTTAACATCTCGGAATCGAAGACGACCTCTACGATTTGGACTGAATTGTTAAATATGTGTTAAGACTAGTAACATAATGTGATGTACCTGAATTAAAATATTCTAATAAACGTTATTGATCTATTTTGTGTTTTTTATTTTTAACGCCTAATTACCTATTGGTATTGGTTGTGAACTCCGATTGCTGCATTTAGACTCGAGAGTGGTCCTTCATGCGTCTATGAGAGGTTGGCTAGGTGAGCCAACCAAGCTGCGCAAGCCTGGTGTGCGTTACCCCAGCAAAATAATGTCGAAAATGGTCATTTAAACGTTATAGATAATTAGTTGCTCCCCTTCTGTAATTGTTAGGCACATTTTTAACTTTGTTTCACTTAAACTTTTTTAGTTATTTCAAAAAAACATTTCCTGCTGGGGTAACGTTTGAAACGTTACCGCAGCCAGACATTTTCTTTTTTAATTGTAATATTGAAATAAATTTTAGGTAAATAATTAGTTATCTGGACTAGGTAAATGTTACAACTTATTTGGTATTTGTATTTTCTTCGGCTGCGAAGTTATTCGAAATCCTGCTGGAGTAACGTTTGTGGGTTTGCTGGATCTCTGAAACGGGTAAGCGGATTGTAACCATCTTTTGTACATAACTTCTTAAGGATTAGTTTTAATTTGTTCGACAATAAAATATCAAAAATAATGGACCGTTTAAAAATTATTTAGGTAAGTATGAAAACACTTCAATACGTCCTAACACTTTAAATAAGACCTCTAAAGACTTACTTCAAACGTTATTCTATTGCTTGTAACTACCTTCAAATGTATACGAATTTTCGTAAGAATACTGTAAGTGACTAAAAAGTTATGATGAAATGTAGCTCTCCACGTTCACGATCACAATGTGTGCGGCCTTTTTTGGCCACCGATAAACCTGTGTGTGGATATATAAACTGAATTTTATGCCAATAATTAGTTGTTTAGTTTAGTTGTCTACCTGTATAATTTCAGCGTCGTACATGTAATAATTTACGAGATAATTAAATAAAAGTCATTAGAAGGTGCAAGTCCGTGGTAATCCGACCATGTTTAGGTGGTTACAAATAAGCGATCACCAAGTACATTGCGCTGTCTTTTAAAATGTTTAGTGTAATACACCTTACGATTTCGGTACAGTTGCGTACAGTGTTAAATACATTCAATATTTATTCATTATTATTACCTATTATTTATTTTGTTTTTTTCCCTAATTGATCTTAAGCACTAGTTTCTTTACTTAAAATTTCTTTAGTCTTTTTTACTACCGGAGGATCAACATTGCATCGCCCAACAGTCGTATGCCTCGTAAGAGAAGGTAATAT